TCGACTTGCTGTTGAGGGAGTTTGGGATGGGGTCATTCAATGGGATTCGCACCCCTAACGATGACGAGTGCATCATGGATGACGAAGAGTACGCTGAGTACCTACCATCAAGAGGAGCGAAGGGGGACCCCAGTGTGAAGTCCTTTCAGTTACTGGTGGAAAGCTTGCTATGGATTGCAAGATGCACACGCCCAGAAATTTGTTTTGCAGTGCACGAGGCAACAAGACAGACTCACAAGCCGACACTCAAGGATTGTAAGACCGCGAAGCGCATCATGCGATACCTGAAGATGTCCAAAAATTCGAAGCTACACCTAAATGGTGAGGACATGTGTCAGAGGATGTGCGGGTCGAATGCTGGAGCGACGCCAATTTCGCAGCGAGCAAGGCCGACCGTAAGTCGATATCAGATTGTGTGCTAACTGTGGATACTGCAGTGGTTCTGTGGCTGTGCAAGGAGCAATCGGGTGTATCGCTGAGCACGATAGAGGCTGAGTTTATCTCATCGTCGCAAGCTGGTCGGAAGCTGCGTGGCATGAAAAAACTACTGAGCGAGTTGAGGCTGCGCGTACGTGAGCCCATGTCGATGTGGATTGACAATTAAGCGGCGATCAAGCAACTCCAGTCAGAGAAGAGCACCACGAGCGCCAAGCACGTGGACATACTTAAAAATTTATATGCCATCGCGCATAGAAAGGAACGGTGGTGCCAAGGTTTGTGTGATTAGGGCATGCTAGCAGACATACTGACGAAGTCGTTACTGGCGCCAAGGATGGAGTAGTTGAGGTCCATCATCAAGTTGAAGGCCACACAGGCTAACATTGAGGAGGGGTGCTAGAAACTATTGTGTTTGGCAGGTTTCAAGGTTCAAGTGCTTCACCATGGGACGGTGTCACCTGATTGGCTGATCACCGTGCGACGTGACATGTGGGACCACGACAGGACGGTCGACCAAATGGGACGTGTGGACTGATGGGACTGTGAGAGACATAAATCATGTGACAGGATGTCACACGGGACAGGAAGAGACGGACACCATGTGTGACTTGACATGGTCAAGTTGCAGCTGCCGTTTCGGGTCATACATATCGTAGTGTTGAAGAAGGTAGCTCTTACCACTCAATATATTTTAAGTTTACTTCCTAATTCTAATGCGCAAGTGCGCCTACGTTCTAACATAGCAGTCCTTTTTGTTGTTACTTCTTAATTATATGTAACCTTCACCTATCGCATGAGAAAGTTCAATCCTTTCCGCGCTCTCCAGCGACGCGTAGACAGCCTCCGCAGGGGGTGCAAGAATAGTTGATTGAGTTAGCCAATGTTGAGCTTGCACTTGATGAGGTAGAAAGGAAACTGATGTTCAAACTGTGCCGTTATGTCATAGCTATTCTGCTCGTTATCTCGCACACTATGTCTCTGTATCTGCCGCTCTTACTAGGTCGACTTACTGTCTCTGCGCTGCCACTCGCCACCACTCCGACGACGCGCTTCCTGTCTGTTGGCAACTACAAGATTCTTCACCCATCTTTGCAGCCCCTTCATCTGTCGACTGTCCTCTTATACACATGCAAACAGTCGCCGACACCAACTCGATCTGACATGTCGTGCCGCACATCGTGACTCTTCATCCCGATCTTCAACACTCCTCCTTGTCGGCGACTTACACTGCGCTTACACGATGTGTAGCAGTAATCGCAACTTGACCGTCTTGACTGCATCGAGCGCTTTGGTGAGTACGTCCGCTAGCATCAGGTCGCTCGGCACATATTTTGGCACCACAATGCCTCGACAAGCGTAGTCGCACACGTACTTGACTCTCACATCAATGGGCTTGGCTTTTTTAGACGACGCTTCTCCTTCTATCTGCCGAATCGCCGCCTGGTTGTCAATTAGTAATTTCATCGGTAGTGCAGGCGACTCACCAATTTCACTCAATATCTCTTTTACTCCAAGTAGCTCTCGTCCAGCTTCAGACGCTGCCACAAATTCCGACTCCATTGTCGAGAGCGCCACACCTCCTTGTTTGATCGAGCACCAGCTGAATACCATTCTATTTAGCATTATTAAGCTACCGGTCAAAGACTTTCTGTCTGCCTTGTCGGCTGCGTATTCTGCGTCACTGTAGCTCATCAGAACAGGTTGTGTAGTTTCTTTGACTGCTGGCTTCATGCTGATCTTCAATCCACGCGTGCCACTCAAATAGCGCATGATGCACTTAGCCAAATTCCAGTTATGGATCCGTGGCTCGTGTGTTTGTCTGGGTGCCTTGTTCACCGCAAATGCGATGTCGGGTCTTGTGCACCTCGCTACCCAGAGCAACGATCCGACAATAGACTGAAAAACACGAACGCTAGGTTGACCTGGAGCACCCGTGTCTGCAAGCAGACCGCTGTCTGCACATGGAACTTCATAAACGTCTGTCTGTCCCGATAGGCGCACAACTTGAGTTGGCATCAGTCATGCCGTGGTCACGCAGCAAGTCGACAATCGCCTTCTCCTGGTCAAGAAAATATCCACGATCTTCGTTGCTCGTCACGCGCATACCCAAAAATTTCGACACTGGTCCAAGATCTTTAATCGAAAGAGTTTCGAGGCTCGCAAAAAAACCGTCAAATGCAACAGCGGATGTTCCAGTCACCAGCAAATCGTCTACGTACACTCCGACGATGACGAATCCATTGATGTCGAGCTTGTAATACAAGCAGAGGTCGCTGATGCAGCGACGAAATCCGGCTTTCAATAGCCGATTGTTAAGAAATTGGCTTCACAAACGCCCTGCTTGCTTTAAACCATAAGGACTTTTCTTCAGTTCAAGCACGACATCTTCAATCTACGTTGCCCTCAGTTCTTTTAGCTTTCTTGTATCAATTGTCATGCCCTTGAGGGCATGCATCAGAATTTGGAGATGCTGTTCCTTCTCTGCTTTTACGTAAGCATTGGGGACGTCTCCGTGCTTAGCCGGGACGCCCCATGTATCAGCAGAGCCAAGATTACTTACACTGTCATCATGTCCATGACGGCAGCGAAAGTTAGCGCAAAGTCCACGCCAAAAACTTGTTCATTACCGCACGCAACGAGGCGCGCTTTGTGCCTTTCCAAAACTCCATCTGCAGTCGTCTTTGGTCTTAAAGACCCATTTACTGTGGAGAACGTTGCTGTTGCTTGATCGGAACGCCAAAAGCCACACTTCGTTTCTTTCGAGCGCGTCCAGCTCCTCACGCATTGCCTTTTGCCACTCGTTTCTCTTCTTGCTCTTCATTGCTTCGCCATAGTTGCGAGGATCTCTTTCGAACACGTGATTGACGACATCTGCGCTGACAGCTACTTCTTGTTGGCTTGCAGCTGCTTTCTTTGCCGCACCTCTTGTCACGTGTGGCTGGCGAGTCCACTGTTTCTTCTTCTTGGGCTTCTCGCTCGTAGTAACACTACTGCTCAGTCTCACAGGTGTCTCGGTGCCTTCGTCTGAATCTTCCCGGTCATCGTCATCAAGAGCTAGTTGCAGCTGCCTGTTCTAGGCTTCAGACAACGTTTCAATATTCTTGACATGCTGCGTCACGATGACCTTGTTTACTTTCCTGACGAATACTCTGAAACCCTTTGTTTCGTCACTGCATCCAACGATCGTGCCCACTTGAGCGCGGCGCGCGAACGTATCCTTGCTTGGATCACGGTAGATGGTATAGCGAGAGCCAAACACGACGATGTTGTGCAAAACCGGCGATTTATTCGTCAGAACTTCGAGCGGCGACGCTTTCTTAGGAACCGAATTCGTGGGGCTTCTGTTCAGAATATATGTGGTGTATTCAGCGGCATCACCCCAGAACGTAAGGGGCAATCCAGACGCAAAGATCATTTCTTGTGTCATGTTTAGAACGGTCCTGTGCATTCTCTCGGCTTTCCCATTCGACGCTTGATTTCGCGCTTCACTCACTTGTCTTGCAACGCCTGTCGATTTGCTGAACAGATCAACATTCTGGTATTCTCCACCGCCATCTGTTCTGAGAACCGCGATTCTGCACTCAAAACGTCGCATAAAGAACACCAAGATGTGTTTTGAGTTCTTTGCCGCAGCGTCCTTGGTTCGAGCTAAGAAAACTCGACAGTTGTTGGTCTTGTAATCGATGAAGTTGATTAGATATCAGTTTCCGAGTAGATCCGCAGGCGTTAGTGGACCTTTTAGGTCCGAGCAGATGACACCTCCAATGCGGTCGATCGGGGCGTTCTGTCCAGATTCTTTCTGGTTCTGCTTGTTTTTTATCTGCTTGGATTGCGCGCACGTGGTGCATGTCATCCATTTGTGGTCCGTCAGCTCGATACCCGAGCTTGGATTTCTCGCGATCTTATTAATTGCATCGTACGACAGATACCCCAGACGTTTCTGAAAGTGTAGCAGCAAGCCACGATGCATCTCCAAAGTCATTTCATCTACTGCCTTCTCCTGAATGGCAGCCATTTAAACATCCGCTGTTTCCTTTTTGCGTACACTCTTTTTCACTGTCTCGATGATTAGCACACTGTTCTCCATCGTCACGTCGAACGCGACTTGGCCATCACTCCGTCGAGCTACTGATCGCTTGCCATTAGAATACTTAAGACTGTATCCCTTTTGATCAACCTTGCCATAGCTGATGATGTTGCGGGCCAGAATCGGTGAATAGTAGGTTTCCGTGAGTTTGGCTGTTTTTTTGTCCATTGACAACCACGGAGAGTCTCACACTACCGACCTTGGACAGACCGACCTTCTCGTTATCAGCTAGCGAGACTACATCGATGCAAATCTCTGCGTCGATCAGCAGGCGATCGTCGTTCACCAGGTGTCGACTGGCACCGCTGTCGAGTATCCAGTCGTCGTTCACTTTGTCGCTGTCGTCATTAACAGCAAGAGCCACCTCGACGTCGTTCTTGGCGCTCTTGATGACGTTCCATTTTGACCTGCAGTCAATCTTCAAATGACCTTGTTTGCCACAGTTGTAGCATGAACGTGTCTCCTTGCGACGTCTTTAATCAGTGACAGCGGCGACTAACTCGCGTCCCAACGTCCTTCCGGTCTTGTTCTCGAGCTCAACAGACTGTGCAAAATGCGCAAGCTCTTCAGCTTGGCGCAAATGATCGCGTCGGTCATTGTTGTACTTGGCCATCAAAACTGTTGTAAGATCAGCCGACGCGTAGTGGACAGTGTTGTCGAGAACTTTTTCTTCTGCACCTCCCCCGCAGGCATCGCATACAGCAACCATATGCAGGTAGTGTGCAGGCCATGATCTCTTGGGATCCTTCCTTGCAGTGAAAAGGTTCATGCTTTGTGACGCCGTGATTGTAGTCTTTAATGTGTGTAGCAACCGGCCCATAGCGTGATCGAGAGAGGGTTCTTCGAGCCACCAAACGTCCACTTGTTTTGGTAGTACCGCTCTACTGTCCCACTTAGGTAGTTTCGCAGTAAGTCGACCTTGACATCTTCAGCCCATTAAAATCCGCAGGCCTGCTGCGCCATAGTGACTTGGCGCAAGAACGTGTAACCCCAGTCAGCAAATCCGATCCGAGAACCTGATACAGTTCTGTACAATCAAACTTGCGAATAGCAAGCTTACGTTGCTGTGCGTCCGGGACACGCAACGGCAACTCCTGCATCGGTTCCTGCTGCGTTGGTGGCACAGGCGCATGAACGTCTTTAAAATCCGGAGGCGACACTGGTGCATAGCGCGGTGCCTGTGGTCGAGCAGCGCCCGCTGGCTGTCGCGGATTGACATACTGTGGACCGAACTGCTGGAATAGCGAGTCACCTGGTTGCTTCACACGAACACGTCCACGCGGCTGCCTCGGAGCATCATATACTAGCGCTTCACGATGTAGAGTCGTACCGCCCATGCCCCGTCCCAGCACTGACGCAAAAACGCCACTGTCGATCGCGCCTCGCAGTCGCTCATTCTCGTCGATCTGCAATTGCGACGCCTCGAGCGCTTGTATGCGATCCGTGAGTGCAGTCATCATTGTGAGGATCCTTTCGTCGGTCCCCACACCCCTTTCGAGGGCTTGGGTATCGCTAACAACGGTGTCCCTTTCGTGGCCGTGGTCTGCAGGTGCAGAAATCGTCATTCCATCAGTCGAAGGAGCCATTGGGTTTGGGGTCATAGCCTGTTAGCCAATGTTGAACTTGCACTTGATGAGGTAGAAAGGAAACTGATGTTCAAACTGTGCCATTATGTCCTAGCTATTCTGCTCGTTATCCCGCACACTATGTCTCTGTATCTGCCGCTCTTACTAGATCGACTTACTGTCTCTGCGCTACCATTCGCCACCACTACGACGACGCGCTTCCTGTCTGTTGGCAATTGCCAAATTCTTCACCCATCTTTGCAGCCCCTTCATCTGTAGACTGTCCTCGTACACACATGCAAACAGTCGCCGACACCAACTCGATATGACATGTCGTGCCGTGCATCGTGACTCTTCATCCCGATCTTCAACAGATTGATCCTTCTATATTTCGATAGCGTAAATCCAGTCACCCCTTGCACCGGATTAAAGATCGCTGTGCTGTCTTGATATAGAAATCAATTCCTTTGTATCTTTTTCATTATACGTTATTAATTATGGAAATTGATAACTTTAGATGGTTTTACTGAGAAGGCACATGTCCCACATTGACTTAAATTCCTGCAGTATGAGATAGATGTATGCATATTACATGACCTATAAATTACAATCATCTATAAATTAGGGGAAGTGTAACGGGGCACTGTCGACTACGTACTGATTGACCAGTACGGAGTATACTTCCACTGACAACAGTGGTCGACAGTGCCCTGCTAGGTGTTGAAGGAACACAGAGGAAGAAAATGAGACTAAGTAGTCAGACTAGTCTCTGGTAAAAGTAAAACTGTATTAATACAATCAAGTCCTATAACTTCTTGAATCTCTGTTGTCCTGACTTTATTATACTAATGTAACTAAATGTATGGTGACGTCTACTCAACACCCATTGCGCGCGTCTAGCAGCTATTGGTGGGTTGATATCATCACGATATCAACCAATGAGTAGACCATTCGGTTATCTCAACAATATCACCATGTCTGTGATATTGTCAAAAGAATATTCGACGTAATATTCGTTATTGTCATTATCTTCTAAATGACCATTTTATGTAATGGGCTACCCCGTTACATCACCCTCCCTTATCTGATAGTCACCGTGTGACTATCAAATATTTGGTGGCCACCCGTTGGACACCAATGGGACAGGGAGCACTTGTTTGGTCATGCCCATTCACTCTCGGACCCTGCCTCGCAAAATTAACATGTCTATGCGAGGTGATTCGAAGACCACGTAGCCTGCTGCTGTGCCAGCCTCTGCGGCAGACGCTACTTCGTCTGCTGCTTGTTCCCCTTCTGCAGCAAAAGGTGCTGCAGGCGCACGCGGTATCGCACCACGTGCACATGATGACCTTGACAATAAGGTCATCCATTCCGGCAAGTCAGACGTGTCTGACTCGCGCAACGTTCCAAAGGCATCCCGATTACCGGCGGTCCCTCATCGTTTGTCAAGAGCACTGTCGAACGAGCGGACTCGTGAAATGAAACACAGTCTGTTCGGCAGTGATGATAAATTCTATGGTGAGAAAAATTATGCATCACCAGCATCAACTCGTGCTTCTCCGCAAGAGCGTGATGACGATGGCGTGAGCCGTCGTCATTCTGAAAGCCGCGGTACCGAAATAGGTACCTCATTAAATCGTGGTGAGCTCAAGCCGTGGCGCTTGCCCGACCAGCTCGTCGATAGCCTGTCTCACGAGACAAGCCAGCACCATCGAATACCCTCATTCGATGCGACTGAGCTTCACGGCTTGAGTTCCAGCGCGAAGAACTTTCGCGCTGAAGAAGATTTCTATCTCGATGTCTTTCTTAGACATCGATGGTACAATGGCAGCCAAAAGCGTGACAAAGCATCGCTTTTGGCTGCGTGGAACGCGTTCGTCCAAAACGTAAAGAATTTTGGACGAGAAGGGTGGCTCAAGAAACTTGAGGCGACACGCCTCAGGTTCGAAAAGCGAACACCAACCGGTGCAAGGTACCGGTTGCATTGTTTGTCAAGTGAGGCAGGCATTCCTTGCCTCACATGGGGAGACCCTTGTGCGAGTTGTGCTGACAACTCGCAGCGTGCACATAAGGACGTGTATTCCCTAATTTCGCCCTAGAGAAGGGCACACATCTCGGCTGAGATGCGGGAAGCGATTGCAAACTTGCAATCCGTCTACAAGCGCCTAGGGCGCGTGTTTACCGATGGGCCACAGGACTCATCGGATGGGTCTCGTCGTACTGGCGGACGAGACCTTCAACGTCCATCAACAGCTGAGAGCGGGGCTCCCAGCTGTTCCAAGAGGGTGGATACCCCCGCCACTGGACGAGGTAGCTCGTCCTTGATCCTGAATCGTCACGGTGATTCAAGATACGCTCCACTAGAAAGCGTTGACCACCGTGAGCATCGATTAAAGGATGTGGTGGAGGAGGAAAGACCTCCTCCAGATGATTCGGTTCACCATCTCGACCCTTACGAGATGGATCGCGCAATCGATGAATTGCGCGATGACTTGAAGCACGAGCGCGACCGGCGCTACGCTTTGACTGATACCGTGCGGAAGAACCGCAAGGATCGCGAGGCTGATTGGGCGACAGACCGCGCCGATTACGCCACAGCGCAGCTGCAGGTCGAGCGGGATGTCCGCTCCCTTTCCGTCGAGATGGCGACAGCTCGCGGGGAGATATCTCGGTTGAGTTCCGAGGTATCTTATCTGCGCGACCAGACGGATCGTCTGGAGCGCGAACGCAAGAACTTGATGGATGTTCTTGAACGTGAGGGCTATCTTCATCGGAAGAAGAAGGCTCGTACCGACAGTACGGTCTGAGTCGCCCCACGTAAAACGTACGATGCATGCGCATCCTACGTGGCAATTCGATCGTGTATGCATTGCCCTTGCGATGCAACACTCGAAATGGACCAATGTATTTCGGCAGTAGTTTACTACTGTCGACACTAGTGACTGCATGTCCAGGTAAGTTTACCGTAGACAGTAGTACTAGGTCATTAACTTTAAATGAAAGAACATTTGCTCTTCCATTCTTGTCTGCGTTACGTTTCTGGCGGTCCACCGCATTTGCGATGGAGTCCTGAACGAAAAGGACTACCGCTTCTCGAGTCAGCAGGAAGTTCTCTGCTGACTCTTTGTTTTGTCTTTCAGTGCGCTTCGTGCGCACTGCTAAGAGATTGCTCTCTTCTCCAGCGAGATTGTCTTCTTCCTCGCTGGAATAATCGTTGACGATGCTGAATATGCCAGCATCGTCATCATCATCCGAGGTGATTTTCTTTATCGATGTCGACCTGATCGACATCGGCATCATACGTGACGACGTTAGCGTCGACACGTGATGAGCAAGAGCCAAAACGGTTTTAGCTCGAGCGAGTCCCTCCCCCCGCTTATCCAAGAGTCACACCTTAGAAGGGCGGGTACACGTGGATGGCGTAAACCATTCACGTAAAACGGTGTGTGCTGTGTTGAGGCATGTACCGAATTATTGATGACGAATCCACCATGGGTAGGAATTTGCTTCAACTCGAAAACGAGTGAACATATCCTCGAAGAATCTCTTCGAGGACACGGTTCGCACGTTCCGTCTGACCATCTGTTTCGGGATGGTCAGAAGTGGACATCGTCAACCGTGTTCCGAGAGAACGGAACACGGTTTGCCAAAACGCCGCCGTGAACCGAGGGTCACGTTCGGGTACGAGTTTACGGGGTAAACCGTGGAGTCGAAACACAGTGTCAATGAAGACAAGCGCACAGCCGTGAGCGTTGATCGATTCTGGGACTGCAGCAAGATGTACCATCTTGTTGAAACGATCCACAAATACAAGAATACCATTATTCTTGTTAGTGTCTTCGAGGAACCCGAAGACAAAGTCCATGGACACGGACTCCCAACACTCTGCCGGGACCAGCAGAGGTTGCAATGGTGCACGGGATGAAGGACTAGGCTTCACCCGTTGACAGACCTCGCAAGAACGAATGTACTTGCGGACAAACTGATACTGGCGGGGCCAGTTAAAGTCACGACTGACCGCGAGGTAAGTCTTTTCTCGGCCACCGTGCCCGCCAGACAGCGCATCGTGACATTCGAACATGATGCGTAATCGCAAGTCATCATGATCGGGAACGACGACACGAGGCGTGTCGCCGGCAACTGCTGTATAGTACAGCAGGCCATTGCGAGTCGTGTACCGATCCAAAGAGGAACGGTACAGAGCCGGCAAATCCGACAAGAATTTTCGGGATGGGTTTGCAAGATGACCCATCAA